TATGAGTAAAGTTCACATGTGACCTTGCACAAAAAGACAATATATCTTCCTATCCTACTATATATAATCCGCTATGTCCGTGCGTGTGCGTCTGTCTGTGTGTCACGAAATTCATAGCGCCGGTCCCAGTAGCAGTGAGACATTGATTTCAAGAAGTGATGTAGGGTGTGACGGGAACACTATTGGTGGGTGACAGGAAGTGATATCAGTTGATAAGATCCGATAAGAGGCGTTAGAAGGGAGGTCACCATATCCATAACGCGGGTCACAACAATAGCAGGACGTTAGTTCCGAGGTACGATATAGGGTATGGGACAGGAACGTGATTGGTGGGTGGCAGGGAGTGATATCAGTTGATAAGATCTGATAAGAGGCGTCAGAAGGGGAGGGGCACCGAGTCCATAGCGCGGGTCACAGCAATAGTGGGACGTTAGTTCAAGGTATGGTATAGGCTATGGCACACGATTATTATTGGTGGGTGACAAGAAGTGCTAGCAGCTGATAAGATTTGATAAGGGGAGTTAGAATGGGAAGGTCACCATACTCATAAGTTAGAATGGGAAGGTCACCATACTTCATAGCGCGGAAGGCAGCATCAAGTGCTGATTCCAAGACATGATATAGGACAGTATGTGACAGAACTGTGAGCTGCTGATAAGACTTGATGATGGGAGTCAAAATGGGAAGGACGCCGTATCCACGACGAAGGACACAGCATCAGATAGGCGCTGATTCCAGCAAGTGACATGGGGAGGAGGGGGGGGGGGACATGGGGAGGAGGGGGGGTGGCGCGGAGTGAGAAATGTCAACGATGAGGACTTTGATGTACTGATAACAACGATAAGGGACGCATAAGAAACGTTGCTCCGCACTTGTTCAGCCGAAGTGCTGGAGCCTCAACATTATATGCGTTATATGCATGTAATGATGTCGAGCAAGAGGGGGGGGGATGTTTAGCTTGGCTGAAACAGGAAACACAGGGAAAATCGAGATCAAAAATTTAGTAATATGAGACACTCCGGTGACATTTTTTTACTTTTAGCTTTCAGTTACTGATACGCTTGATAAGGGAGCAGGGCACACCATATGTTGGGGATTTTAGTGTCGACTCGGCACGACCCTCCTTTTTTTTTTGGGGGGGCGGGGGGTGGTACGATCTCCCCCCCCCCTCGGCCCTCCGGTCCTCCGCATCGAATCGAGCTGTGCGGTGCTTGGGAGGGGGAAGGGTAAATAGCACATGCTGAAACAGGAAAAGCGCGAGATGGTACGCTTCCCCCCCTTCCTAACAATGACCAAGTACGACCCCCCCCCCTTTATAACGTCCGTGAAGCGAGAAAAATCAACAATCAAAATAAACTTTTATTCCCAACCAAAGCACGACCCCCTCCGCTTTCCTGCGCGCCAGCCAAATACGACCCCTATGCAAAGATTCCCCAGCAACGAGTGTTCCTGTAAGGGAGTAGGAAAAATGTATAACGTTGCCCAAATATTAGTACCTGCAATCATTTATGGGACTTCAGCGAGTGGACTGCATGGTAATGGAAAGATTGAGCTATGAGGCGTCTACCAGGTAGGATCTCTTCTAGCGCGACGCGAGCTCGGTGAAAAGAAGAAGGAGAGACTCGTCGTCAGCCGGTCGATCAGACTCGCGTAAGGTACAATTTACCTTTGCGCAGCTACTGTGGAATGAGTGCACCTTGAGCTTAAGCTTAGGGTCAACTCACGGTTGGTTGTCTAGGGCTGTACGAGCTTTGAGCAACGGAGTTCTTCAATGTTGCAGAACTTTCCTTACAAATCAGGCTCCCTTATCTTCTCCGCTGCGGCCCACCTCTGCTCATGCTCATATCATGCTCATCATCCTGTCCTTATTTACTATCAGCTCATAGACAGGATGTTACTAGACATACACCCTTGAAGCGACTTTCTTCAGAATTAGTTGGCGCTCAGTGAAAACGACCGTAATGTGCGCAGTGAAGGTGTACCCTATACTCGTGCCTTAAGAATATGGAGCTACGCATCTCATTTTGTCATTTGCCTCTTCATGTTTCGTATGAGCAGGTGAAATGACAACAGAGTGAATAGGCTATTCGAATGAGAAAGAATGGATATGGAAAACTACTACTGCGTCTCAGTTCCCTTCCTGTCAAGATATCATTTTCAGGATCCTTACTCAAAGAACAAGCACCCCAGCCCGCTCAAGTAGTACATGTCTCTTTCTTATTGCAAGTCGCCAGCCACCAAGCTAGAGACTGTCCAGCTCTTTTCGACTCCACAACTAGGGGATAGCAGCCGTTCAATACCCCCATTCTCACCCCGCAGCACTGGTCGTGACGGGGGTAGCGAGCTACAGCGCCCTCAAATTTATTTCTAACGCCGTCTGCTCCAGTTGCGACCGCCCTTTACTTGCTAGATTGACCTCCGATCGAAGCCCATCAGTTTCTTGTTCTTAGTTGGGGCGGCGAGCATTAATCGGAATTGCATCTCCTTTTTGCTGACCGCACTCGTGCCCATGGATAATTCTGCTCTCCTTTATTACAGTTACTCAATGGGGGCATATACATTCAACTCAACCCATTTCGCGAGGTGAAACGCGTAAAAATCACAGTGACGCAATTTTCGGTTCGATACAGCTCGGCGCACTTCACTGCACTATGTTCGCTACCGTGACAAAATTACGAACACCGAGCTTTTAAAATTTCTTTTTCCTTCCAAGAGTTTTTCCTCTGCGTTTTTGTTGTTGTTTTTTTTGTATTCTTTTTTTGCACTGGATGATATCAACTTTTGCGAGATGTGAGAGATTTGTGAGCTAGGGGTTGCACAGAGACCGCAGGGAGGTGTGACTGTGAGGGAGCTATTTTGTTTATGTTGTTCTAGAGGATGCTTCTCGCTTGTTTTCTTTGGGAGATTACTTATCAGCTACTGTTTCATAATTGAAAAGCAACTATCCATGACACTTTTATCGCGGGAGCTGTCTTTAATTCACAGACAGCCACACAGTAAACCAAAAGTTGTCAGAGCGAAATATTTGACATCAGGACAATTCGCCATAAGGGCAGAACTGCTTTGTACGTAAGAAATATTTAGTTCATCGTATTTCTTACCGCTCTGCGGTCCTTCGGAGCAGTTCTGCATCCATCATCCTGCCAAACAACTCCGTTTTTAAGCGAACGTTTGTAAACTGCCAATAGCTCGAAAGTTGTACGTGATGCCGTTGTGCGTCCCCCTGAACGGCATGAGCCTGCGGAACGCGGTCCTACACCGCCGATCATCCTGAAAAGTTTCCTGATGTTCATCTTTACCAAGCAAATGCGATGAACTAAAATGCGGCTACCAAATGTTTGAACTTCATAGAGAAGGATAGAAGAACAGGATTTTCCTGTACTCAATATTGTCAAGGCTTTTCCACACGATCCGCAGGCGTCAATACGCCTTACGTTTCAGGGTCTTTTGCCTTTCTGCAGCCTTGAGTTGGATAAAAACGAAATGTGCACATAAACTTTCCAAGGAATTCAAAGCACATGCACCAAATTATCGAATTACTCACAAGGGAATGGTTTCAAGTTCGCACGGAAGTTTGAAAACAGACTTGGGTTCGATAAAAAAGAGATACTTCAATATGGGTTCGAACTGATTACATGCGCGGATTAAACAGCTATGGACTTGCGACCGCCTCAGCTAGTGCTCTCAAGCTTCGTAAGCAACAAATCTTCTCAGCTTTCTTAGATATTGATCAGCATTCAAGCTCTATCCACTGTACGTAGTCTCCATTTGTAAGGCCCATGGACAGCAGAGATCTTAGCCATCATTAGTCCCATCGACAACGGATGAGCAACACTGATGGCCTCTTTTCATCCGCCACAAGTAATGTTGTGATTAGAGTCCCGTCACCGTGAATGGAGTACGATAAACCACTATCTATTTCAACAACCGATATCGCGGGTAACCGAATCTTAGAGGTCAGTAAAACGACACTGATGGGGTTACGACTGATAACTGGGGGGGGGGGGGGCGGAGGGTGAAGTGAAAAGACACTTTTACTCTGCGCTTGCTGATTGAACAGTTTCCACCATCTTATAACAACACACTGGGCACTATCACGATACCCCGCCAAAAACCCGCCTTCGGCACGCAGTTCGAGAGATTCTCCCAACCGTGATTCGGTGACTGAGTTCAGCAAATTCGCTGATTTCTACTGAAGACCACCCTACTGAGCTCCGCCAGAACCCGGCTACCGAGGGGTTCAATCAGGTGACACACTTGGATATTCCGTCTTCTTCAGGTTCTCAACGCGCTTTTGTCCCGAGCAAGCGAAGGTTTTTTCCAACACCCCTCGATTCCATGTGGTGACACTCAATCCTGTAGCAGAACGAAGAAAAGTGAAAGAAAGAAAAAACTCTCCAAGGTGACGACAAGGATGCAAGATATTGTCCTCAAGTTTTTCGATGTACCGACAGCGTTCACTTTCAGTCCGGGGTCCACGAAGAAAATATCGGTCTTCCCATTCCAGGAACTTCCGGTCCATACCATCAACCCGCGCCTTGGCGACTGCGGTGAAGATGATATCCTGGACCGTAGCGACGTTGTCGGAGCTGCTCGATGTTGGAGGTCTTCCAGATCAAGAGTGCCGGTCTCCAGGTAGCTCCATGGGTGACTCCATACAAGAAGTTTCGCAGCTGTTTGGAGGTGACGTGAATTCCATAGGCCTTCTCCAGTCAGGCTGCGATTGGAGATGGCTTCATATTTTGGTGTACATGAAGGTGATGGGCGAGAGCCTGCTCCTGCTTATCGAGGAACATCTTGGGTATCTTCCGCCCTGGTACTCGTATCCACGTCTTCTGTCTGGGCTGCGAAAACTTTGCTGATATGTGACTCGGCCGAATGTCTTTTTTTTGGTCACCCCTCCCCCACCCCCGTGCACACCTCCACCCTGTTCTCTTAGGACTAGCAGTCTTTTGTGGAACTAAACAGAATCTTCACTCTCTGGAATTAAATGCTAGCTACTAGAGCGAGCTTACCACTGTTGCTGCTTCTCTTTCGCGCTTCGTGTGCTTCTCCACTTCCGACTGGTGCGGTTGTCTTGTTTCCATCTGGAGTAATAGACTACAGCCTAATGCGAGCCTCCATTATTAATAGTACGTGGGTACATAACTCATTTCCGAGAACTGTTTGGTATGCTCACCAATTTACAGGATTTAATTTTTAGAATCTATTACGCAGCCAAGCGGATGAGGGTTTTTCGCAGGAAACACTAACGGCACTAGCTTCACCGATGCAGCCCATCTACTGGACTGAAGAAATTCAAAGAAGTGTCATGAAACCCGAAGACCGATTCAGTGTGGGAGCAACACCTTCTAAGCGAGACAAAATACCGCGTGGTCACAGTGTGCAGAAGAACAACGCACGCGTGTGATAAGGTGACTTCAATCGTAGGCCCTCTCTGCTACAACAGTGATCGTATCACAAAATTCAAGCAACGGTGAAAGGTACAACATGTACTCACGTGTTCCGGCAAAGATGCAGTTTTACATCCGGCATCTTCCAAACCAGCTGGTGTTCTGACTGGCTCAGCTGTGTGAAGATCTTCTTCCTAAGACAGTTTGGCCATTTCTATCATTACAGACAGTCACGGTTGTCAACTCATGTCACACTGGAGACAGCGCCCGCGATCGTCTTACAGGTTTAAGAGCTTAGAAGCATTAGATCATGTTGTGAGTACAATGCTAAAGAAGAAAAATAGACAAAAGAATCCGTTGAATATCTTAGAAATGACAAATGTACGGGATTGGAAACGGACGAGTTAGTCAAACTCTGGCGAGTTCTCTGAATCTAATCGCCGCTTGCTGCGACTCATTCTCCAAGGAATATGTGATAAGATATTAGTGATTTATACCGCATAACGACTCTTAAGGCTATTGAAAATGAGGAGTGAACGTTATTTCGCCTTCACAGCGGTGATCACCTACCCGCTCTAGGTAAGCTTGTTGTTGCCTTTTTATATTTATTTTTTTTATTAACAAAAGTCCGGGCTTTTAAGAAATTGGCACGAAATTTCACGTAGTCTTTTTGAAAAAGCGCAAATGTGCCTAGAATGTAAAAATTAGTGAAAAAAAGGCGAGATGTGAGAAAACACGACAATGGGGCTTTTTTTTCTCCTCGCGGCTGCTGGCAGCGACACGCCCGACGCGGCGGAGCGCTCTCTGACGCTGGGCGAGCGGCTGCTCTGGACGACTCTACCGATTGAACTGCACACTGCTGGCAAACAGCCATAGGCGACGTGAGCGATGCAGAACAGCTTTTCAGCAGTATGTTCTACGTCGCCTACATTATACTACATTATACGTAGGCAGGGGCGGTCCATACACGTAGGCACGGGCGGTCCACAACGGCATGTCCTCGTGCTGTGATGCCACACGTCCAATGGTAGGCCGGCGATCGAGGTGGCTTCCCGGTTACGTTGCTGCTCAGTAGGGCACTATGAGGGCACCCTCCCGGAAAAGGCGCTATGCAGCTCCTGTTCAGGGTCACGGAATTCTGCCATGCCAGTCGTATTAATCTCTTTCGTCTTTAGGGATTTATCGTGCCAACTGCCTTCGAGCCGCGAAAGTGGGATATCCTTTATGACCATCAGATCCGCCGTATTGTACCGATTTCTGCACCTTGGTTGATCGCGGACGCTATATTCAATCCCATAAAACGTATAGCTGCGATTAAGACCTCCATCTCCGCGAAACATCATTCCTGTAATGACTTACCGTCACAGTCCTTTCCATTGTACGTTTAATCATGATCTCAGTTGTTTTTTCAGACGATGTTCTTGACGGGGCATAATCTTGTGGCTTCTGTGCACTAACAAGCTGGAATGCGGAAATCAGCTTCTAAGTTTCATACAGGATCAGCACTGATTCTCAACAAGATGCAGAAAGAACCAATGGTGGATTTCGAAAGGGTAATCAAAAAAGTCAACCTCTGTTGCTTCTGATGGAAGTTCACGGGCCGTTGTACACGGTTTTTGCCGCAAACACTGGAAAGGTTCAAGACAGCTGCGCAGCAGATGTGAGGAAATATCAGAGAGCAGTCATTTTTCAACTGGCTGAGCTATCCCATGCTCAGCAGCATCCCAATACATGTATCCCGCTTAGTATATCTGTGAATGTGTGCGGCCTTCTACTCGTAACGAAGCTTATAGCGTCCTTTCCAGTGACAGAGGGATGTTTATTCTGATATAGCGGGGGGAGGGGTGAGAAGTGGGAAAGGGCAGGGAACTTAGTTCGTGGGCGATGGGAAGTGATAACAGTTGCTATGCTTCGCCCAGAGAGTCAAAAGGAGAGAAAGGCTGATTTCACGGGACAGGGCAGATCAACAAAGGGTGAAACAAAGGACTGCGACAGTATTAGCGATGGCGGATGACAGAAGGCGATACCAAATGAGAGCGACTGGCAGTAGGCGCTGACATCATCGAATTATTCGAGGTGGTAGAGCTCCTTACCAAACAATTTGTTTACTGATAAAGGGATTATTGACGGGTGATCGGTAATGGTGTCAACTGACAGATATCCTGTTTTTATATAATCCGCTGAATTTGACGGCTGCTGCTGCTGTGTGTGTGTATGTGTGGAAACACTTACGGTCCTTTGGTGTAGGCTCTGTTGCAGTCCTACATCCGTCATCCTGTAAAGAAGTTGTTGGTAACATAGTTCCTTCCTGATGGAAATGACTATGGACTACCATTTTTGGTGAGGGTTCTGAAGCAGTCCGGCAACCATCATCCTGCAAATTTTGCGATCTACCAACTTCATTTCAAAGACTCGTGAATCACAAAAAAAATTTAGCTTCAATTGTACCACCCTGGTGGATATTAGCTGGCACAGTTCACTACTACAACAACATATGATTTCCATTTGGCGCATAAACGTCTCTGAGCGCGTCACCGGCTTTTCTCGCTTTCATTTGTCTAACTTCTAATTGGCTCTCTAACTTTGACGCTAACTCTCTAGCTTCGACTAATGATAATGGATTGAGTTTTTTGTAAAACTCAGTCCACTGTTTAGTTTTTACCTTTATCCCGGTCGAACGGCCCTCACCATATGAAAAGTGGATGGAATCCGCAGCTGCAGAAGCGTGCCGCTTTCTCTGCTCGAAAGAGCACTGAAATTTCGATGGTGAGTGGTGTTACCTAAATGACATCTCCTGCTCCGCCAGCGCTATCGCTAAGTGCATCGTTACTAAAATTCGCATCGAGGATGCATCCAGAGGTAGAGAACAGGTAAGGGTTCAAAGAAAAGTGGCGCGTTTGCCTATAGAATTCGCAGTGTTGCAGCACGGGCGGAATCAAGAGAAGTCAGCCATATATCAGCACCCATCAGCCATATTTCAGCGTACATTTGAGAGGAGAAAGGGGCACGCCGTGAAGCTGCGTACCCATTCACTTGGTAAGGTTCAGGATCCACGAAGGTAAGTGTACAGTTCATCTTCAACTGCAGGCCTGCTATGTACGCAAGAAAATGTTAGGTTCATCATGCTCCTTACCGCCCTTGGTGTCGGCTCAGAAGCGGTTCTGCATCCATCATCCTGCAAAAATCAATTACACATTTTAAGGCATCGATGGGAACGTGCCACTAGAGCTATTGTACATGACAATGCACGATTAAACATAGTCTTACCTGAGCCGGCATGAGCTCGGAAGCAGTCCTACACTCGTCATCCTGAAACATGTTTGATTTTATTTAGCCACCAAGCCAATGCTCTAGCATAAAATCCGGCTACTAAATGTCTGGATTATAGAAAAAGCTGGAGAACAGATGTTTGTCATCTCATTCATTCTTTCAAGCCTTCAGCCAGCTCTAAGAATTCAAGATGACGCGCGTCGACGCGCGCGAAGCGCTGTAATGCGCTGCCACTGCAGGAGCGCCTAAACGCTATAGACGTGAACGCGGACCAACGAGGCCGCATGATTAGGCAAAGCATACCCTCCTATTTCTCACACTCTCTCAAATGGCCACGGCTAGCTCCGATGGATTCCGTCAGGGCTGCGTCCGTGTGTTTACCATGGCAGCGCTGCTGCAATGGTAGTGCGTCGACGCGGGTCATGGCGAATAGTTACACGTTCCAGCGTCTCTTCCTTTGTATGAGTCCGGAATGAGCTGTGGCTAATGCATGCCACAAGCGTGCAGCTTCTGTAAAGCAACGTAACAACGAAACTCGATCAAGATATGAAATTATCTTTCACATCAAAACAGAGTAAATATGAGACCAACCAAAAGTAGAGCGATTGGAGCGCGAGATGATCACATGTTTTTAACAACCGACATCGCGGTAAACCAAGACATTTAGAGGTCAAATAAAGACACTAAGGGTGCGGTCACATACTCCCTCACTCGTTTTCTCGGGAGTCGCAGGTACCACTAGTGAACAGACCCATGCCTTTTATGAAACTAAACGAAAACTTGACTTTCTGGAATCATTAGGCCACTAGGGTAAGCTTACCACTGTTAATGTTTGTCTTTCGCGCTCTGTGTGCTTCTCCAGTTCCGCTTGGTGCAGAGGTTTTGCCTCCACCTAGAGTAACAGATTACAGACGCCGAACTCCCTATTTCTGGTGCATGAGCACTTTATTCCTGAGATGTGTTCAGTATATCCACCAATTTCCATTATTTACACTTTTTAATTTTTATCCGTTACGCAGCCGAGCGGTTGAGGATTATTCTTTTTTTGCGAGCAACACTCACACCATTCCGACGCACTCCATCTGGTGGATTGAATCAACTTAACTATGAGCCACAAAACCCGAAAACTGATTCAGTGATGGACGGGAACACTTTTTGAACGGGACAAAGTACCGCTTTGCCACAGTGTGCGAAAGAACAACGTATGCCTTCAGATGTGATACAGTTATTTGAGTCGTAGGCATGTACTCACGGGTTCCGGCAAAGATGCAGTTTTACATCCGGCATCTTCCAAACCAGCTGGTGTTCTAACTGGCTCAGCCGTGTGAAGATCTTCTTCCTAAGACAGTTTGGCCATTTCCATCATTATTCTCAGTCACGGTTATCAAATCATGTCACATTCATCTCGTGAAATGTTTAGCTGCGGTAGAGGTCTATCTCGCGAAACAACATTCCTGTAATGACTTACCGTCACAGTCCTTTCCATTGTACGTTTAATCATGATCTCAGTAGTTTTTTCAGACGATGTTCTTGACGGGGCATAATCTTGTGGCTTCTGTGCACTCACAACCTGGAACGCGAAATCAACTTGATAGTGTGAACCTCTCATGACCGCACAACAAGATCCATAATGAGAAGGTGACGGAGTTCAAACAATAGAATCTACATGTGGGATAGTGGATAAGATACAATCTCAACTGCACGGGCATAGGGGGGAAGAGAAGATTATACGTGCGCCTGAATCAACAATCAAAAAATTTCCACGTAGGGAGTTACTTGTCGGTATTAGTCTCAAGGGGGGAGGGTTAAATGGTCTTGCTAAATATATCCTATCGGTGGTAGGGTACATACGGTTTTGGTGTGACACAGTCTGCAGAGGAGACTGGGAGAAATATCACACATTAAGTATTCTGTTGACTTATGAAGCGTTTCATCCAGTGCTCACAAGGGGAGTGTGGTAGAGCAAAGTAGCCATTCGGAATGAGATGTTCTTGACGGGTTCTTGAAGGAGGATTACGAAACCGTCTTCTATATTCGACCTCCCAGAATAGAGTTCTAGAGCCTTCCGGGAAGCACACCCACGCTCGGTAAGGGTGTATCGTTGGTGGAAGCGCAGCCGAGTGGTTACGTGGTAGGCCTCACGTATGCACGGTCGAGAGTTTGAAAAATTAATGTATGTGCTCTTCTGCTTTTTTTCCACAGTGATTTATTTGCATTTGAAAGCATCTTTGCGTAACTCTTGTGCTAAAAACTGCTGTAACTTCTGGTTTTTGCAGGAATGAAGCCATAGTGGACGAATCCATGGAGAACATTCTTAGCTGTCGATTTCTTTTTATCGCTTCAATGAACCTATGTTTCACAATAAGACTACAGTCCATAAATGAGTTTGCCCTGAGAAATGGCTTGATTCTCCGAACAATATGGGTGGTAGGCGTTCATACCCCGCGACTTGTCATATGCCACGTATCACCGGTCATGTGACGTCATGGTGTGGCAAAAGTCTCCATTTTTCCTCTTAGCATCAAACTGTTGGTAACTGGCAATGGGTCACTTAAATCTCTGTGGACTGCGCGCACCTTGAGCTCGATGCTTACGCTTGCAGTACGAAAAAGACGTCCCAACAAAGTGTCATTCGGAGAACTTGCTGAATTTCAAAGCGCCTTGGATGTTCACCAAGCCTTTTCTAAAGTACTGGTCCAGTTTCTCAGATGTAGAATTTTAAACATGATGCACATCCTCCTCACCTTTGTACACAGTGTTCAACCAATTCTTCCTCCCGGAAGTAAAAAAAATTTCGTGGGCACGCCAGCTTTGTAGACTCGTGAAGACGTAATCTACAAAGCTGACGTAGTGTTGGCGGTGATCGAAACATCAGGCGAATTGACATCCCGGACCTCCTTATAACACGAAGGACATTCCTCGCAAAGGAGTTTGGTAAATAGGGAACTACCAATGTGACGCCCTTGATACCTGATATGGAAGCCGACGATTTACGCGTTCGCTCCCGCAGCCGTTTTGGAGAAGTATACGCGTCACGGTATATGTTACTACAGGGTGAAAGCCAACTTCCGAGTTGTCATAGAATTGGAATGTCATGGAACAATACTCCTCTCCATAAAAAAATAGGATAGCAGCTTATCGAGTGGATTAGGATGTTCTTCGAAGCAGGTTTCCTATGCCACATAAAAACTATATTTCCTCCCTCGAGTTTCACTTTCACGTTCAGGAACTGTAGGAAACCATCAGGGTCCTCGAGTGTCACTGCAATATCCGAATGCAGTGAGTTTAGCTCTATGAATACTTGACGTAGTGCTGTTCTGAACTTCCAACAACAAATATCTCGTCTATGCACGGTTGTGAAACAGCAATATCATTAAACGGCCGGAAACAGCATTAGCATTGAATTTTACAAGATGCATCAGAAGTCCTTCTATGTCGTCGATGAACACTTCATCATGTTGTAACCGTTCGGATATCGGATATACGGTGATAGCACGTGCTGCAGGAACCGACTGATTGCATCTGTCGCCTTTCCGCATAAGGAAGCAATCGGTCTTCGTTCTGATATTGTGACTCATGACTTTTGACCGCTTCACTTCTATGTCTCGTTTACGAAACGAAGCAAAAAGTTCTCTATAATCCACCGACTGAAAATCGTAAGGAGCGCATGAGCTGCACTGATTTCCACGAACCACGTTATTCCGAGGAAGTCATGCAGTCAGCAACGGTGAGTGTTTTATAATGATCAAACACTCGAAGAATCTTGGTTTGCAATTTGCCTAGCTGTGATGAAAATACTGGATTTTGTAAAGGGGGTTGACTTAATAGCG